AATGCGGTTTCAACGGAGCTGCCGGATCCCCCAGGTGACGAGCTCTTTTTTATTATTATTTTGGTCTTGGTTCTAGGGCATTTCCGGAGAAATAAGTACATATCGAAAGCGGGATGTTCTAGAATGTATAGAATGTATAGAATGCATATTATAGAATGTGTACAATATGGAAATGAGATCTATCTCTTATCAACACCCCCCGCAGTCTACATGTATAAATCTAAAATTATCATGGGCTCGGACCAATGTGAGATCCTCCATAGAAGGGCTCGAGCAAAGGATACTGTATGAAAACTTCGTATCGGGACCATTCGGAACTCTTTCCCCTACCGCGTAACCATCTCTCTGGTAAGAGTATGACGAGGTGCGATACATCCACGCGATGTAAGGGGGATTGGGGTGGTGGATGTGGTTGAGAGGAGGGGAATGGGGAGTATATCGAGGTTAACCCTAAAAACTCCACCAAGAGTCTCGACCTTTTTTTTTCTCCCCAAGAACCAAACTTGTCGATGCTTGGCAGTGTCTATTTCCAGGGTCTGGAAAAGATGGTTAACGTCAAGGACCAGTCCTCGAGGGTTTAACGTCCCTCTATAATAGACTCCTATATCGACCGGGGGGGCAGGATTAGGTCTAGACTTGGATCTCCAGGTCAATCGAGTCCACGTAGCTCCAGGTAGCTCCAGATCCAAGTAGTCCAAGTCCCTAATGAATCATGGAGGTGCCTGGTGCCTTTTGGATAAAATGGAGACACGCGGATATCTGGTGAAACACCTAATGATTCGCATCGGTAGCCCCGGAAGGTCTTTGAGTTCCTGTTCGAGTTCCTGTCTCTTTGCTCTCTGCTCTTTTCTTTTTTTGCCCCTCGCTTCCTGATAAGCCTCTTCTTCTCTCATCGTCACCATTTTTTGTTTTCTTTTCTATAACCTCCCTCGATAGTATATATATCCTGCATATATACTGCACCTTGGTCTTTTTCTCTCTTCTTTTTCTTTTACCCGGCTGGTCGGATCTCTTTTTCGTTTTTCTTTTTTTCTCTCTTGGAAATATTTCAGAGATGATCGCGATCAGCTAATAACCTTCCCTTTTCTCTTATTTCTTACATTCTTGACCTTCTCCCCGCCCTTGCGTTTGGGATCCTAGTACACATTCTATTTCCGCCCCTCTTTCTCTTCTTTCTCTCTCAGAGTAAGCGCACTTTCAAATCGTACGTGTTGGAACTGATCCGAGTCTCTTCGGGTCTCTCGTTTTTTTCCCTCTCTTTTTTTGTCCACTCGAGTAGTGTCCAGGTTACTGAGTTTGCGCAAATGTTCACAGTCAATCCGGCCAGACTCCGCGTCTTGATTCACCCCGACTTCTCCGTAGCGCTGCGGTTTTTCCGACTCGGTATAGTGACATATAGAACTTCAACTGGTTTTGGGGTGATTATTCCGATCGGATTGTCGGCTTTGCGATCACTGGTGGTCAGGAACATTCGCAGTTGGCTCTCCGAAGACCTGACATCACTCCCGCCTCCCACCCTCTTACGTCGCTATGGCTTCCTTTCTCCCTGTCAACAACTCGGCCCCTGAAGACCACGCGATGGACGGAGCAGCTACACCTCGTGCGATCTCAAATAGCGTGCCGGTCACACCGGACGTTTCTTCGACGGAGCAGTTCCCGGACGGAGTTTCACACCGCAGCCGCGGTAGCGACACTTCATCCCGCACAACCTTAACCCACGCTCGAACACCGTCAACGTCTGACGAACCAATGCACGATTCCGAGGGAGAACAGGACGATTCCGATCATGATCAAAATCCGGGGAGTAACGGACCCCCCTCGAAAAAGAAGAAAGGCCAACGGTTTTTCTGCACCTCTTTCCCTCCTTGCAATCTGAGCTTCACCCGGAGCGAACATTTGGCCCGCCATATTCGAAAACACACCGGTGAACGTCCCTTCCAGTGCCACTGCTCTCGGCGGTTTTCCCGACTCGACAACCTCCGCCAGCACGCTCAAACGGTCCATGTCAATGAGGAAATCCCCGGAGATTCGCTAGCGGCCACGGGCACACGGTTCCAGCGTCAGGTCCGGACAGATCGAGTGCGGCCACCAGGCCGGGCGCGGGCAGGCACAGCGGGCAGTATTGGTGGTCATACCCGGGGTCATAGCAGGAACTTGTCAAGTTCGAGTATTGCATCCACCGCTTCGACATTCAGCCAACCTCCGGAACTTCGGCGGCGCCCCCCTCCTTTGATCATGGCCAACGACCCCGCAGCTCGATCCCGACTGGCGATGGATTCGATGGGAGAACCTCCGAGCACACCCCCAGGCCAAATCCGTGGCGTTCCTGGTCCCTCGACAGCTGGATCACCGTACACCCCCTCCAATATGTTTGCTGTTACTGGGGGAAGTCCCCAATTTGCGTCGCCCATGTCTGGCACAGCCCATGGGTTCTGGGAAGGCAAGACGGCCGCCCGTCGTCTTTCAGTCCCAACGAGCAGCAACCCTTTCCTTGGACAGCATGGCAATGCGTATCCCCCGGCATACCACACACCCGCCGGCGCACCTTATCCGAATGCCGCTGGCGTGTTTGCAAGTCCTACTAGCACGCATTACTCTGCATCTCGTGATGAGGGCACCTTGAGCGCGGCTGAGGCGGAGATGCGGAGAAGAACGTGGCACCCTTCTTCCTACACAGGGTTTCCACGTCCTGCGACTAGTGGCCTGAACCAATACCATACGCCCGACAATGTCCCGGCCTCATTCGGCGTGAACGGTTCGAGCGAGCATCCGCCCCGACTCCCCGGAATTGAAAGTTTCGACAAAGTAGTTCAACGGCCGATAACCCCTCCCACTCGGAAAACCAGCCCAATGCAGCTGGATGGCCACCATCGTCCAACTAATCACGGTTTTGGATCTGGATTCAATTACACACAGCCAGCCCACCGTCCACCGCCCCCCATCTCCGGCCCCGGTCACCGACGAGGCCATGTATCCTGGGATATGTCTTTGCATCATAACTTAACCGGACTGGATATCCGAGACCGACGTCCATCCACTGCCTCCGCTACTCAATGGAGTCAACAGACGCTCGCGGAACTCCAAAATGTCTCTTCCCGGCCATCGTCATCTTACCAGCCTGCATTCGGCCCAATGGCTGAGAGAAGCCCTGAAGAGTATCGGGGACATCGCCCAAGCCTTTCAACTGGGAGCCGCACGCGAACTTCCCCCGAGGATTCCAGTAGCAGTGAGGGTGTCCATACCCCATCCACCGCATCGCTTGAATATCATCCCGCGATTGTGCACAGCAGCGGATATATCGAATCTCATGATTCCTCACTGCCTTCCGATCACCCTCCACCGGTAGGAACTCCTTTTCGAGCGGACGGCTATCGCCCCGGTTACTAACGCCGACATAGATATGTGGCCGCCAGTCCTCCCACGCGGACGGCTACGAATCCCATAACGACCGGGAGCCTAGGCCCGACGTCTTCTCGGACTCTCCTGCCCGACACTCGGGCATGGGTCGCCTAGAGGCTCTTGTGGCCGTTGCCACAAGTGAGAACAAAGGAGCAGCCAAGCTATTTCTGTAAATTGTCTGGACACAGCCCTCCTATTCTATACCATACTACACCATTCTACATATGAAAGTCATCGTCGCTTCCTGCAACTAGCTGGAGAGCGATCATCATTATGTATACTTGGCATTTCCCTTCCCGTCTATCTCGAACTCCCAACCACTCTTTCCGCTCCCTCTACTTCCAACATTCAGCCCAATGGCCTTTCTAGGCTCTTCCGATTCTTTCTTGTTTCTCTATATATTTCGGGGATTCTCATACATGCTTATGAGAAGCCCTTGATGAACTGACGACTTTGACGACGACTGATACACGACCGGGAAACATAGCCCATCTTTCTTTTACTTGTGTTCGGGAGTCTTATGTTTGTGTTTATGATCTCTTTTTTTTCGGACGGTTCTGGAGGGCAATCTTTTTTTCAGAAGTTCTTGGTCCTGAGCTGCATGTCCTGGCGTTCGCATGGGAAGTTTTGTATGGATGGAGTCGTGTGCATCATTTGGTTACCCTTTCATTTTTGGTGTCTGCGCTGTGGCTGAGTGTTGTTGCATTTCACTCTCTTTCTACGCGGACTCTTCATCTCTCCCATCTCTCCCATCTCGAGCCCCTCCCATTCTCTATCTCCTTATCTCGCCTTCTCGTTTTCGTTTTGTGTCTTACTATATTCTTTTTGGGGCGGATCGTGCCTGATGCTCTAACGGACTACAATTATGAAGGTTTTTGACATCGGTTACGAACTAAATATGACTGCAATGCATATGCCTTTCTCCTGATCACATGTGCAAATATATTCTTCGACAAATGTAAAATGTCATGCAAACATAGACCAATGGGCTTGCGAACGGAGCATTCAGGAGGTCGAGTAAGGATGTGGAGTACAAGATCGACCCGAACCACCTATTACTAGTATAGCATACTATGGATCATCCGTACATAGGCCCAGAAGTTTTGCTCTGCGACAATAGCCAGCCATATGTGGATAGTAGGAAGAATCCCAGAACCGGATAGCAATGAGGCAGCGATGACTTGCAGGTGACGTCGACGGGAAGTTTAGCTTTCCGGGGCTGGGCCTTCCAAGGTTGAGTTCGTCCCCACTTGTAACCCTGCGCGCTTCTATGAACGCCGTTGGAAACGTTATTGTAGACATTCAAGAGGGATTGGGGATTGGAATTATTACTAAAACAAGATCCAATCGCCAATGGATATATCAATTGCAAAACAGCATCTGGGAAGGAGAAAAAGGAAAGAGAGGAGAGGAGAATAAGAGAAAATACAAGGCAGAGGCAAGGGTCTAGCACGAGGACTGGGAACAAGACGTCATAGTCGATTCTGTGTTAAGAACTACCTATAAAACCAGGGATACTCCGATCCGTTAGCCACAGTATCTACTTCAATTACACGCTTTACTCCGTACATCTTCTACTCCCAACACTACACTACAGCATCATGTCGAAGAACCGGGTTCCCATGTATCTGGGCCTCGCTGCGGCGGGTGCAGGCGGATACTACTTGTACTCTGCCGGCGGCGATCCTTCAGCAGCAAAGCACCAAATGAAGAGTAAGTGTTCTGTCTGATAAATTCCTCGGTTAATATTGAACTGCCTCGGAACATTAAGCTGACTCTCTCTCTCGCTATAGTTGACGCTGAGAAGGCACGCGAGAAGCTCCCAAGTACAAATAACGCCGAGAAGACTGGCAAGGATTTCGGCAAGGAAGCCGGTGCCAATATCGACGATGCTGTAAGCCATGTCCTGTCCTTGGTGCTATACCTGCACTGCAGATAATGTGTCATATAATACTAACCATCCAAATCTAGATCGCCAAAGCCCGCGCTGAGGGCAAACGTATCCCAGAGTTCGCCCAGGAGAGCAAAGATAAGCTTGATGAGCTCCGCGACGAAGCAAAGAACAAGTTCAATGCCAATCGGGAGAAGCTCAACAGCGGTGTTGATCAGATTGATCGTGAGGTCGAGCAAAAAGCCGCTGAAGCCAAGGGGACCGTCTCTGGCTGGCTAGGTGGAAAGAAATAAGCTCCTTTCGCCCTTGAGCGACAATTTTATGTCATTATTTTATCACGGCGCTGGTCGTTTCGCCAATATCACGAAGAATTCCATGTCTATGCAACATATGCTTGTTTGATGTCGATGTAGTTTGGAGATCGTGTATGCCATGTTTTCAACGCACCTGGTCTGCCCAGGGCGCAACATGAAATTGAATGTAGCTGTTCAATTATTTCCCGATAGTAAAGACTGATTTGGAATTTATTCTCTGCCATACATTAGCATCAGACATCCCACGCGTTCGGAGAAATGTAGAGGCGCTGAGCTTGGACACAGTGACATTCCAATGCCGGAGTACTATTACCGTAGTGACGAGAATGCCTTGGCCATGGAGCTGATATCTTTCATACACAATATTTTCAGGAATTCATTATATTAAGACTTTCTCTCTTCCTTTTGAAACGAGTCTTATATTCCATGCTTGAATTGAAGATTTTATAGTTCGCGCTCACGCGTTTCTATTTAGCCTAAACCGGCTAGCGTGTATTTTCAACGCGCCCTCGAACGCGTCTCCCCTTTGTACCTTCTCGGACATCTCCTCCCACTTCCCACTTTCCACTTGTACACTTTCCAACTTCTTGCTCGCTCTAATATCTCGGTATCTCTTACCTTGTCTATTATAATACACTTGTATCCATCGCCCTTGCTTCATTTATTCTTCCTCGACAGGCAAAAATTTTTCAAAGCAGTCGCGATGCCGCGCACTTCCCGGTCAAGCTGCGTTGCCCAGCCAGCCATTCAAGCCTTCGCTCGGACAACCAAAGCCGGCATCACTCCGCAACTGCCTGCAAAGAAGATAGCATCCCTTCCGGTCTCGCCTTCCAAAAAACGCAAACTGCAGGAACTCGAAAACTTCGACAATGGAAGCAGACAGGCACCAATTGAGGAGGAAGGCACGCCCTCGAAAACTTTGCGACTCAATGAATTATCCGTTTCCTCACCACGCAGCGGCCATTATGTCTCGCCCAAGAAGGCCTCGCCTGCGAAGACCCCAAGTCGGACCCCGAGTCGACGGGCTGCCCCTGTCAAGAACGTGTCCTCGACACCCGCGACCCCTTCAAAGCAACGAACCCTGAACTTTGAGAAGGTTATTCCTGTGAAGGCGGAACCCCTAGCGATTGAGCGGCCCGCATTTTTCAACGACATTCTCAACCTTCACTCCTCATTTGTGCAAGCTTTCTCCATTCACATGGCACACAATGGCGCAAATACCCCTGCGGACCTCCGAGAATTTCTTCCCAGCGTGACCCGCCTGTGGAATAAGCGCAAGGTACAGATCAAAGACTTGCAGCGTCTTGTGTGGGTCTGGGAGCAGAGTTCGAAAGCGAAACACATTTCATATCGCCTGGCAAATTATGGACTCGGTAAAATATGCATGGAGCGTACCGTGCAGGCCAACGTGCAGCCCCCAGCTTTGCAAGACTCTTTCGAAGAAACCTTGGACTTGTTGTGGGAAAAGGCCCCGGAGGCCCTTCGGGATGCCAATGAGGAGGACCAAGCTACTTTGTTCATCGAGTCTCTCGGTCTTTCTACAATCCACGAATCGCTCACCCCTTTTACGGTTTTCCAGAAAGGCCAGCAACGACTCCAGGATCTAAAGGGCGGTCTGCTCCGTTTGAAGGCCGAGAGAATGCGCTCAGAGTCAGCAGAGACGACTCCCCTGGAGCGGACGGCAACAATAAGCCGCCGCCAGAGCCTGCTAGATCGCATTAAGAACAAGGAGCTACGCCAGTCCAAGCTTCCCCCTCCGCCTCCCAAGAACGAGCTCCTACGACGTGCAGCCGCCGATCGGGCGGAGGAGATAGCTGGGATTCTGGCCATGTTGCGTCCCGTTGGGTATGTGGGCAATGGTATCAAAGCCATGCTTGCAGCCCAACGTAAACCCTTCAAACTCGACGTGATGGTCGAGCATGTCCGTGACTCAGTCCGCAACGAGATTCCTCGTGAGGAGGTAGAGATGTGTCTTGAGATTCTGTCGGATGCAAAGGTGGCTGGTGACTGGATCAGTGTGGTTACTGTTGGCCAGATGAAGTCGGTCGTGTTGAAGTCTTGCAAGGATGTCTCTGCCAAAGACATTGGGGCGAGAGCCGCCCAGCTGAAGGCTGACTGGGAGAAGTCTGCATCTTGTGTGCAGACTCCTTTCTTGTGATTTATGATTTTTTTTTTGGTGTGTTCTTTTGTCTTTCATTGTTGGATACCTCGCATCCGCGGAGCTGGTCTGCTCGCGGTCTTGCATCAGCGCTCGATACCCTGTACTTTACCATATGTCTCTTAGCATGAAACTACCTTAGGTAGTACTTTAGCAACTAGGTCCTCGGACGCCCAATCATAATCCCACTACCACAAGAAAAGTCAACCCTCGCCATGTCTAATGTTTGTTAATTTTTTTTCCCCTTGTTACTTACATGTACAACTAGCTAGCAAGACGAAAACGATGTAAATATCATAAACTTTCTACGTACGGATTAACCACCAAAATTGCCCACTTAACGCGCGACGCGTGCACGGACCACACGAATTCAAGCGCGTCGAATTGGACTCGTCCAAACTACCCTGATACCAGCATTTGCGTTGTCCTTTGCTGCATTTCTTTTCACATCAACCGACACCATGTCTTCCCGACCTGACTTGAAGGTATGGATTGAGCTATCTAATATTCCCTAAACCCACCAATACAGCATTCACTAACTCAAACCCTGAATCGACGCAGGTCGACGACGAAGTTGGCTTTATTGGCTTCTACCGTGGCCTCCCTGCACCCGATAATAATGAAACAATCCGCGTATTTGACCGGGGCGACTGGTATTCTGCACACGGCGCCGATGCCGAATTCATCGCACGCACCGTCTACAAAACAACCTCCGTGCTGCGCAACCTAGGCCGCAGCGAAACAGGCGGCCTTCCCTCGGTCACAATGAGCGTCACAGTCTTCCGAAACTTCCTTCGCGAAGCCCTCTTCCGACTAAACAAGCGCGTTGAGATTTTCGCCTCCGCCGGCTCGGGCAAGAGCAACTGGAAGCTGGCGAAGCAAGCCAGTCCTGGCAACCTGCAAGACGTGGAAGAAGAGCTCGGTAGCGTGGGCGCGCTGTCAATGGACTCTGCGCCTATTATTCTCGCCGTGAAGATCTCCGCTCGGGCAGCGGAGGCCCGGAATGTCGGCGTGTGCTTTGCTGATGCGAGCGTGCGCGAGCTGGGCGTGAGTGAATTCCTCGATAACGATATCTACTCCAATTTCGAGTCTTTGGTCATCCAGCTCGGTGTGAAAGAGTGTCTTGTGACCATGGATACGGCTCGCAAGGACGTCGAGCTGGCGAAGATCCGGGCTATCGCAGATAGTTGTGGTATTGCGATCTCCGAGAGGCCTGCTGCCGATTTCGGTGTTAAGGATATCGAGCAGGATCTTACGAGATTGTTGAGGGATGAGCGTTCTGCCGGTACACTGCCTCAGACGGAGCTGAAACTAGCTATGGGATCTGCGTCGGCGCTGATCAAGTACCTTAATGTCTTGACTGATCCTACGAACTTCGGCCAGTACCAACTCTACCAGCATGATCTGTCGCAGTATATGAAGCTTGATGCCTCGGCGCTGCGGGCGCTGAATCTTATGCCTGGTCCGCGGGACGGGGCTAAGACTATGAGCTTGTTCGGTTTGCTGAATCACTGCAAGACGCCCGTGGGGAGTCGCTTGTTAGCCCAATGGTTGAAGCAGCCTCTGATGGATCTGGGTGCGATTGAGCAACGGCAGCAGTTGGTGGAGGCATTTGTTGTTAACACTGAACTGCGTCAGACTATGCAGGAGGAACATTTGCGTTCCATTCCGGATCTTTACCGGTTGGCTAAACGCTTCCAGCGGAAGCAGGCTAACTTGGAAGATGTTGTCCGAGCATACCAGGTTGCCATTCGTCTGCCTGGATTTGTAAGCGCGCTGAGTGATGTGATAGACGAGCAGTACCAGACCCCTCTAGAGACGGAATACACCTCTAAGCTCCGTGGTTATTCCGACAGCTTGGCCATGCTGGAGGAGATGGTTGAAACAACAGTGGATCTTGCTGCTCTGGAAAATCATGAATTCATTATCAAGCCCGAGTTCGATGACAGCTTGCGAGTCATCAGGAAGAAGCTGGATAAGCTACGACACGACATGGATATGGAACACCACCGAGTTTCCAAGGATTTGCATCAAGACATGGAGAAAAAGCTCTTCATGGAAAATCACCGGGTGCACGGTTGGTGCTTCCGTCTCACTCGAAATGAGGCGGGCCGTATTCGCAATAAGAAAGAGTACCAAGAGTGTTCGACCCAGAAGAACGGCGTATACTTTACCACGTCCAACATGCAGTCCCTTCGCCGAGAGCATGATCAACTGTCCTCGAACTACAACCGAACTCAGACCGGTCTGGTTAACGAGGTCGTCAATGTTGCCGCTTCGTATTGCCCGGTGTTGGAGCAAGTCGCTGGGGTACTCGCACACCTAGATGTCATCGTGAGCTTTGCCCATGCTTCGATGCATGCACCTTCGGGATACGTTCGCCCAAAGATGCACCCCCGGGGAACTGGAAACACCGTTCTGAAGGAAGCTCGTCATCCTTGTATGGAGATGCAGGACGATATCTCCTTCATTACGAATGATGTTTCCTTGATTCGTGATGAATCGTCTTTCCTCATCATCACCGGTCCCAACATGGGCGGCAAATCTACATACATCCGACAGATTGGTGTGATTGCACTCATGGCACAGATCGGCTGCTTCGTCCCTTGTACAGAGGCCGAGCTGACCATTTTCGACTGCATTCTTGCTCGAGTTGGTGCGAGCGACTCGCAGCTCAAGGGTGTATCGACGTTCATGGCGGAAATGCTTGAAACGTCCAACATCCTCAAGTCTGCCACCTCGGAGTCCCTGATTATCATCGACGAACTTGGCCGTGGAACCAGCACATACGACGGCTTCGGCTTGGCCTGGGCTATTTCGG